TCATGAAAACACAAAGTATACTACTCTGCATTAGGCACCTTATAATTTTGTTTGTTTTGTTTTAGGAAACTTTAACATATTCTATAGCTCGCAACTTTTTGTGTGTTATTTTTAAGATTCCATTAAGGGACCTGCCAAAACATAATTAAAGTCACAGGAGTTATTTATATAGCAAGTTCCAGGCCAGGCCAGCCAGGGCTACAGAGAGGTCTGAAAAAAAATTTTTAATTAAAAATTAAAATGAGTACTCTTTTAAAAGAAATGCTTTAAAGAGTTACATTTCATTCATGACACAGAGTTGACAGAACTGAGACAAGAGTGAAAGCGACACAGAGTATACTATCTACAAGCGTCTCAGAAGTTAGGGGAGGGAGGGAGGGAGGAAAACTTCTAGTCTGAGACTGGTTCACTCATTCATCCAAAAAAAATATTTATTGGGTACTCAAGATGAACAAGGCTCTCTGGGAATAGGAAGACTTCAGCCTTAGATTTTGCCATTGTGATTGTGTTGTGATTATCCTCCATGGGGTGGAGCCTCTTTTATGCAAAGGTCTCAATGAACCAATAGCATTTTCTGAGTAAGGCAAGATGCTTAGCTATAAAGCCAGCAGAGCCATACAATATGTTGGACCACCTGACCTCTAACTTCAAGTCCAAGATGAAGATGGCACAGCCATTACCTCACTGCCTCTAACTGCTTCTGGAGCCTTCCAACAAGATGACTGGCCTTGGAGGCTTGGAGAATCCTTAGGATCCTTGCCTTGAAGGCTTGCCCGTAGAATTAACAAGTTAGCTCTTGCAGTATCCCTTCTCCCAGGTCAGTGATGAAGCAACCACACCAACCCGAGATGAGACATCAGACTGTGAAGGCATGGAAAGAAGCTCTTCATGGGAAAAGCTGTTCTCTTTTTCTGCCTATACAGAGGGGAAGTAGTTATATACTTGATATGTATACATATTTCAATATACTTATGTTGACTGTCCAAAAGATGGGAATGAATGCACACAAGTTAGAAATCAATAACTCCCCAAAGAAAAACAATAATCTGGAAAATATTTTTTATTTCCCTCTTGTTAGAAATCAATAACTCCCCAAAGAAAAACAATAATCTGGAAAATATTTATTTTTATTTTCCCTCTTTGGAAGTTGTCTATTACTTACTTGTTAACATAAGAGTAAATATATCTAAGATTAAAGTTATTCATTAGAAGTGTTATCCTTAACAATGCTAAATCCTAAACAAGGCACCAATTAAGGCCAAAGAATGTTGCTCTAAAAGAGAACTGAATTCACAAAAGATGAATCTAATTACTGAATCTAATTTCATTTTGGAATGCCAACTTCATAAATGCATTTCTATTGAAATCATAATTCACATAGTTTCTTATACTGAAGATATAACTTAAACTGATATGTTCCTTTTCTTTAAGGTTGAATGTGTCTCCATCATTGAGAAGTACAGCCCCACAATGCTCAGTGACATTTTCTAAGTTTATTTGTGTAATATTCAATATAAGCAATACCAACTCTTTACTGTGTAAGTTTACCCTACCTTTATGGTTGCTAGAAAGCATTTTTAATTGATTTATTATAAGGTTAGAAAATTGTATTCCTCTTATATGAACTTCAAAATTAGAAAATTGTTTCTTTTAGGAAAACATAATGTTTATAAAAAGTTCCACATATTCTAGACAAAAGTAGCTAAATATAAATGATTGCCATTTATCTGTATCTCAGATATATCTTGCTTTAATCAAATCTTATGATAACATGGTATATGAAAATCAAGATATACCTGAAAGGTAAGAGAGAGGTGGTTATTTGTTTTATAGAATTATTCATAATAGCTTATCGATAAAAAATTATTTTCCCTGGTACTTTTAATACATCATTGATTTATACATAACTTTAGGAGCATATCTACTATGCTCAATTTTCTCTTTATTTTAACATTTTTCTTTTCATTTAAAAATGGGATATAAAAGCATATAGCCAACAACTCTAAGCTCAGAACATAAACCTTCCAGGGAGGACCATGTGAAGGACACACTCTTGTGATGTCCATGAACACTGTTAATGGCAGAATTCAGATCTGTGCACAGGCCGTGGTTAAGAGCCCAAGCAGACCCTCACCCATAAGGATGCTGGGTTATCTTGGCTCTTACTGTCACGCCTACTTTCAGATAGACTTGTAACTTTATGAGACTTGGACTTGAATTCAGTTCCAGCTGGGCATCATCCCTTTCTGGGATTTCAGATGTCATTCCAGGGGATCACATTGGTTCTTCGTAAATCACACATGCTCTCCTGCCGCCCCCATCCCTCACCCTCACACAAGGCAGCTTCAGAGACCTCTTACCCATTCTTTATTTACACATACTCATACCAGCAGATAGGCCCACAGAGAAGTCCTTTGGACTTCGGTCCCATTCCTGATGCAGATATCAGATATGAACAGATGACATTTGCCTTGCCAGCTTACTTGTTTTCTCTTTTGAGACAAGGTCTCACACTATAGCCCAGCCTATCCTGGAACTCACCAGAATCCTGTCTAAGCCCAAGTGTTCAGACTACGACCCATGCCTGGCTTGAAATATTTCTTTAAAAATATTTGTTTTTTATTTACGAGATAGACAGAGAGAGCAGACACGCATGTGCCATTGCACACATGTGGCAGTTAGAAGACAATTTTCAAGAGTTAGCTCTTTCCTTCCACTTTGTTTTTGAGGAAGGGTCTTCCTTCCCTTGCTGTTTCTGCCCTGCGTACTCCAGTCTAGCTGGTCTGCAAGCTTCAGGTAGATTCTTCTGACACTACTTCTCATTTTACCATAGGAGTGCTGGGATTAAAGTCATGCCAGGCATCTGGCATCCAGCATTTTACATGGGTTCCTGGGATCACACTCAGGTCACAAGGCTTGCATGGCAAGCACCTTTACCCACTGGGCCATTTCATAGGTCCCTGACTTGAAATCTTAGTAACTTTCAATTTCTCAGAAATGGGGGGGGGGTCATGACAAATCTATACAAAATCTATACATTATGTTAGCGATTGCTTCATTCTTATTTATGATCTGATCATTCCTTAGCAGAACATAACCATTTAATTCTGTATTGTCATATTTTAAACAGATGGTTTGCTTTAGAATGATAAGATTTAACTGATTAGTATTCATGAGTAATTACCAGTACCACACGGCATTAACAAATCTAAAGCCAACTCTTACAAATAATCCAAATGAATTATATGCAAGATTTTTTTCTTATGAGGCTGCCTACTAAAGGAATCAAGGAGTCAGCATCAGTGAAGAGAGACCTCAAAGTCCTGAGGCTCTAATCAAATTGTCTCATGTTCAAGGATCAAAGCCTGACCAGCCTCCCAGTCAGCCATCTCTGAAAAGAATGATTCCACATTTGTCAATAAGTTTGGACTATATGATAACCAGGAAACTAGAATTTTATTCCCCCATCTGTTTTTTTTTTATCACTGTGGAGTGAATATTTATGTAGCTATTGAGTCTTGTAATGGACCCACTGTTAAGAACTGCAATTTTTAACTAATTTTGTAAAGTTCAATTCGTAAAGGAAAACTAAATTGAAACTTCATTTATTTATTCTTTATCCTATATGGAAAATAAAGCTTATTTTCACCATCAAGCCTAGGAAAAAAAAGAGGGGAAGATTAAAAGAGGAAGAAAAAAAAAAGCCGGGTGTGGTAGCCCACACCTTTAATCCCAGCACTAGGGAGGCAGAGGCAGGCGGATCTCTGTGAGTTCAAGGCCAGCCTGGTCTCCATAGTGAATCCAGGATAGCTGGGGCTACAGGAAGACCCTGTCTCAAAAAGATGGAAAAAGAGAGAGAGAGAGAGAGAGAGAGAGAGAGAGAGAGAGAGAGAGCCTAAGGCAGATGAGGACGAGGACACCTAAGGGAGTTTTTAACTAAAAGGAATCTCAGAAAGTGAGTGTTGGCATCCTGCTGTGGCTAGGTCTGAGTGTGTTCCTTTCTCTGGGCTGGACAAGGTTCAAATGTGCTCCCTCCTCCAGGCTGGGTATGATGTAAGCGTGCTCTCCCCCGTCCCTCCCTCAGGGCTGAACAAGGTCTGAGTGTAGTCCTGCACCCCTCACCTCCAAGCTGGACATAGTCTGAGTATGCTCCCCCCAAGGCTGGAAAAGGTCCAAGTATGCTGCCCTCCAGGCTTCATGGATTAAAACTGAAGCCCCATTATAAAGTATTAACAAGATAGAAACTTTATGGTTTTAGAAATGGGGAAGCAATTAGAATTAGATAAAATCATCAGGATGGAGCCCACCCCCACAACATCTCAACCCACTGCATTGAATCCTAGTGGGTCTATAAGAGGGAGACATACACCTCCCTCTTATAAGAGGGAGACATACAGATAGACATATACCCATGCTCTCCCTAACTGTTGTCAAGTGGTGTTCTACACCTTCTTGGGGATCTTTCAACATGGCTACCACCAAATTCAGCCTACAGTCCTTGAACCTATAAAACAAAATAAAGTTCTTTTCTTTATAAAGTTTATCCAAAATAAAGTTCTTTTCTTTATAAAGTGAGCCTGCCTGGGATATTTCAGTACAGTAATGAAAAGCTGACTAATACACTCCCCATAAACATCATTACAAGCAAAAATACTTGAATGGATCATAGTTGACCCAGGCCTCATTCAACTTCAAATTTAAATGAATACAGTCAATGATTTGTTGTTATTGTTTGTGCTTTCAAACCACAAAGAGCCTTAATCAATATAAAACATTGTTATCAAATGTAACAGTGTCAGCTCTATCTTACTTTGATGACAGAGACAGGGATAGACTCAAGCATCTTAGCTTGAGTTCAATAAGCAAACCAAAGCAGCATCTGCAGCTAAGCATCTTCTATCCAGGGGTTCATCACTATAGGAGGCAACATGCCAAAGATTCGACTTAAAGGAAGTGGGGCTTTATTTAATTACTGCCCAGGAAAGAAACCATGGTTGGTCAGCCTCTTCCCTAGGGGAAGGTGGGTACAGCCTAGGCCTCTTCTGTATATCTCTTGCTGCTCAGATGTGTCTCCATTAAGGGTGCATATCCTTTGTGAAGCCTTCTGTATTGAAGGAAAGCCAGCAGCCCAAAGAGACCAACCAGAGCCACCAGTGTTCCCGTAACCACTGAGAATGTTGTGGTCCAAACTGGACTTTCTTCCGCTGAAATTAAAATGAAAGAGAAGGTTCTACAATTAGTATTTCGTCAGCCAAACTCTCTCAGAAAAGGGAAGAATAAGCATATTTGTTTTTCACATGCATTTTTGTTGAGAAAGCAAAACTACCTTTACTGGAATTTTATCTCATCTTTCTTCACAATTTATCATATCCACAAATATTTTCTCAAGGAAGCCAGAAATGCATCTCTTAATTTAAATACAGCTTATTGCATTTTGTAAATCTGTTACAATAAATGTTTATATGCAGAACAAACCCTCTAAGGAAATACAGAACTACATTTGGAAGTTAGAAACTCATTTGTAGAAGTGCGTGCTAAAATGCTATCTGGGGGATTGTTAAATAAACAGCCCTCAGCAGGAAATTCTGCTATTGTCTCTACCCTTTTGATGGATGATAAATGTATGTAAGAAATCAGGTGGGCTCTTCTGACAGGAGACCCTTGATAACAGAAGCAGACTTGTTTATACCTATTTAGATGGCTGCAAATAAAATCAAAACCCCTCACCTGATAGATCTGCTCACAGTCTAATAGTACTTTCCTGTGAAATCAATGATGCTTTGAAATAAATATATCTATGTCTATTTGTCATTTCTCTAAAACATAATAGCTGTCGTTGGCCAGCAGTTCTAGAAATTCATCCCTTCCGTCAGCTTCCAGTTCTATACCCAACCTCATCTCAAGGCCAGATTACATTCCTCATGCTTTTCCTCCATCCCACAGAAGGCCAGGCCCATCCTGACTAGATTTCTCCAAAAGGATTTCACCCATCTTCCTAATCAGATCCACAACACTTGTTATTAGTTACAACTTCTTTTTGACATATTGTTTCTTAATTCTTTGATAATTTCATACAATGTATTTGTAATTTTATTTACTTGTATTTTATGTGTATGAGTGTATTGCCTACATGTATGTAAGTGCACCCATGTTGTGTAGTGCCCTCAGAGCACAGAAGAGGGCATTGAATCCCCTGGAACTGCAGTTATGGACAGTTGTTAACCACCATGTAGGTGGGAGGACTTAAACCCGGGTCTTCTGCAAGAGCTGCCAGTGCTCTTAATCACTGAGCCATCTCTCCAGCCCCCTCATACAATGTATTTTAATCATATTCACCCTCCACTCCTCCCTCTAACTCCTCCTAGATCCACCCCCACCTCCCCACCTACCCCTTAGTGTCCTCTTATTTTTTGAAATACTCCACTGAGTCCAATTTGTACTGCCCATATACTTCTGAGTGTGGGGTCAGCCACTGGAGCATGGTTGACCTATCAGGGGTCACATCCTTAAAGAAAACCAACTTTCCCTCCTCCAGAAGCTATCAACTGTCGATAACTCCTGAGTTGGAATGGAGGCTCATGAGCCCCACCTTGCTAGAATGTTGACTGGCTTGGTCATCTGTTGTGGGTCTCTCCCTCCCCTCGTGGGCCGTTGGCCACCAACCCACGAGAACAAAGGGAGCAGAAGCGATGAACGGGGTCAGGACGGCCAGTGAGCACAGATGGAAAAGACCTTCTGGGAGTCGGTTTCAGTGTTGCAACTTGCTTATTCAGTGGGGGTCAGGGAAAAATATAGGGTGGAGGCAGCAGCCAAAGCTTCACCTGTTGGTGTTCATAGTATGCTTTATTTGAATGTGGCAGGAGGACCCTATCATCTGGCTACAGTGCAATGCCTAATTATCATACAGAAAAAACCTGGGGGCAATTTATTGCAGGTAATTATGCAAAAGGTCATGTTCCAAATAAGGCCAGGCATCTGTGCTTGGAGGCACTTTCCATATAGCACCAAGCTCCTTAGAGCTATCTGGACATGGTGGACTACAACCTTAGCAGCAGGGTTCCCCTGCAGGGTCTTGCATAGGCTAGTTACAAATTCTTAAAATGTGGATTTTTTTCTGGGTGTGGTGGCACACACCTTTAATCCTAGCACTTGGGAGGCAGAGACGGGTGGACCTCTGTGAGTAGGAGGCCAGCCTGGTTGACACAGCAAGTTCCAGGCCAGCCAGGGCTAGATAGTGAGACCTTATCTCAAAACACACACACACACACACACACACACACAAACATACAGATTTTCATTCTACCATTTCTTTGATAAGCCACCCAAACTGACTACCTTTTTTCATTGTCCAAATCCTGTTTTCCCTTTTAAAAAATTATTTTTAAATTATGGTAACACACACATAATATAAAATTTACCATTTTATTTTTTAGTGCAGTTCTGTGGCATTAAGTACCTTCACATTGCTGTGTGGCTGTCACTGACATTGTCTACAGAACTTTTTTGTCTTACAAAACAGAACTGTTGCATCCAGAACACCTGTTCTCCCTGATCTTAGCCCCTGGATGCCACAGTTCTTCTGTCTCTGAAAAATTTATTATATGTTCTTTCTTTTTCTATTATTTATTCAGTGGGGGGGTGCATGTATGTGCACTCACATACCACAGCACACATGTGAAGGTCAGAAGGTAACTTGCCAGAATCAATTCTCTCCTTCCACCATGTGGATTCTAGGGATCTACCCCGAGTCATCAGGTCTGGCAGCAAGCACGTGCTTCAGGCCAGGTCACAGATCAGACCATAATGCACAGTACCTCTGCCTAGGCTTTCCAACAAAAAGGCGTTAGAAGCAAAAAGAATTTTCTTTCCACTCTCTGAGGTTTTGGTAATTTGAGCACAAAAGCCAACTGACCAATAGGCCTATTAACAGGAGAAAAATCACACAAATTTATGAATGTATTAAGTGCATAGGAGTTTCACAAAGTGTAAAACTTTAAGAAGAGCCATCTGGTTGAGGCTTAAGTGCTCACCATACAGGAGAATGGGAACCCAGGCTATAGTCAAGGACAGGAAAAGATGAAATGATTTTTAGGGGAGATTAATGGGCCCACAAGCAAATGATATACTGGAGGAAAGTGCTCCTGAGCTCTGAATGTGGCATCAAATCTAGTCTGTTCTATGAGTTCATCTTCTGAAGGACCTGGCCTTCAGGCAAATGGGGAACGTCAGAGATTCAGCCTTGTCTTGCACTTTGGGAGGGAAAGAAAGGGCAGAGAGGATTCAGGAGCCAATCAGAGAAACCTCGGTTCTCTTTAGTTCAAGCAAAGCATTCTGCGTGTCAATGTGCCACACACTCTGAGGGGTCATCTTCTGAATGCAAATGGGCTTTCCTCCTCCTCAGTTAAACCACCTGTACCCTTCCCTGCCTGTCTCTCTCCTTCTTCAGCCTAGAACACCTGCTCACCTACCTGGCATCTACCAGCCTCTTCAAGTCCAGTTCAAGATCCATCTCCTTCTTAAAGTCTTTCCCAAGTCCCTCACTCCCCTCTACCCTTGGTTGGAAGAGGATCAGAATATCCCATAATACAACATTTCTATAACATGCCCGTGTATAGAAGATCATTTTGACCTACAGGCATTTAACCTCCAGCAGGTACAGCTTCCTGGAGTTTCTGAAGCTGACTAAATTCAGAAATTCCCAAGAAAAAAGCACTACCAGAACTCCCCTCCCTGGAAGAAAGTTCATAGCTATGAAGAGATGGACCTTTATAAGCCATGCTAAAATAGCCTGTCTTCCACTAGTTTCCCTAAATATTTCCTCCCCAGTTTGCCACCTCTCAGAGCCCAAACCCTTTGTTCCTGTTGTGTCTCCACAATTTCTCATTCTTTCTTTTAAAATAGCATATAAGCTTCTGGACCACTGGCTTCTGTTCTTAAAAGGTCTCCCTGTCACACAAAGATTAACATCAAATCTCTCCTGTTAATATTTCTCTTGTTAATCTCAGCTGCTGAACATCAATGAGCCGAGAGCTAGTGGGGGGAAAAAAAATCCCTTCCTCACTGGTATCAGCTCCATCTCCCCAGATAGAGGCATAAATTTCATGGTCAAACCAATCAGTCAGCATAGTTTTGTACCTTCTGATAAGCTGATGAGTTTTAGACCTGTTTGAGCCTGCTAATTGATTGTTGCCATAGGAAATAAAAGGTCAGGGTGCACAGTCCAAATCTTCAAATATCATTATGTTCAATCCAAGAGGAAAAGGAAAGAGGTTCAAAAAATATATCCTTAGCTCCAGGAAGAAAGGAAACTCAAATCAGGAAGAACAGGAAGTAGATGCAGAGCAAAAGAGAAAATGGGGAGCAGACGCTAGTGCCTGAAAGGCTCAGAGGTCCGAGAGCGACCAGGGGAACTCAGAAGGGCTAAGACTTGGGGAAAATGATAGACACAAATGTGGAGACACCACTGGCAGATTCAATTCTTCCGGTTCTTGGCACATTAAGATACTTTGGGTGCTTTATCTTTCCTTTCTCAAACTTTCTTGAGATTCTGTGAAGAAAATGTAAAGTTCTCGGGCCTGGGCAAAAGACAAAAATTTGTACTTCTACATATACCAATCAAAATATCCTCTCTTATTTTTAAACAATTGGGAAAAGGTTTCTAAAACGTACATCTTAAAAGCAAGACTTAGAAAGCACAAATTTGAAAACATGCACATGACCAGTCTGTGCATCACGCTGTCCAGTCTGTCATCAGGCCAGTGTCAATCTGTGCAAACCTGCCCTGACAGCATCTGTGCAGTCAGGCTGATGAAGTGACTGATCCAGTTGCAAAGCCATTACAGTATATCAGTCAAAGAAGTACCAGTCTATATTCAAACCATGGTTGTGTATACTAATATTAGTCTTTTAAAATATTGCACTCCATTACTTTTTACAGTGATTGAGTTTTTGCTTTTTTGATGCTCTTTGACTCTGTTTTATTTTTGTTGTTGTTTTTCTTTTTCTTTTTTTGGTCTTTTTGAGACAAGGTCTTCCTATAGCCCCAGTGGGCCTGGAACTCCTTATGTAGAACAAGCTGGCTTTCACCTCACAGATATCTGCCCACCTCTGCCTCCTGAGTGCTGGGATTAAAGACTTGTTCCACCACGCCCGGCTCTCCTATCAAACTTTTGTGCTGAGATAAATCTCATGCTTCTCAAACCATAATCCCAGCCATGCCTGCAGATAAGGAGACCACACTAGTCCCTGTCTACAACTAGCTAGTTCCTTCTGACTTTATCAGTCATATATTTCAATAGCCATGGGGCAGTTTCCCTTGGATCCGATTAATTCAGACAGAATTGTGAAATCAGGCAGAGGAGCAAACATTGCCTCTGTGGAATAAGGTCTCTTAATAACTCAGAGTTTTCCAAAATAGTCTGCAGCCAGTTCCTTTCTGATGTTTAATTGGTAGCTTAATGGCTCATCTTGTTAAAACCAAGATATTCTAGAAAATAGCCAATAAACTTAGCTCAGCCTGAATACTTCAATTAAAGGTCTTAGTTTACATTTTAAAACAGAAAGAAAGAACACTTCCTTAGAAGTTAAATGAGTCACACATTTAGAGCTTGTATTCTGTACCTGGCAGATCAATGGCATAACTGTAGCCAAGTTGGTCTGCAGTTACAAAGAGTTCTTCATTAGTCACTGGCGGGAAGAAGGGAACCATGTTATACATCCGATTGTGACCGATGGGTGCCAGCTCTTGAGGCCAGGCATCTGTAGGAGGGTTGTTTCTTTTCAGCCACTCATCAAAGATGGCATCAGTAAAGGAATGGAGGACCTGCAAGGCAGTTGGACATGTTAATCAACCAATCCAGCTGGAGCTCTTGCTACAGCAGAGTGGAGTTCCTAACACCTGAGTTTCTATATCCCCAGCCCAGCCTTGATGACACATGTGCCATCCTGTTTGTCAGTTTTGTCCTTGTTGTTTGGTGATGAACTTTTCAAGGACATGTGGACACATCACCTCAAAGAGCATCATAAATCCTTTGGTCAAATGAAGAAATGAGAGTTCATGTTGCAACTTTCACACTGCTTTAGAAACATTTGAGACTATCAGCATATGTGTGCTAATTATTACTTTCAGAAAAAAAGGGAAAATAGGATAAACATACATTATAGTCAAAATTCAGATATATGGGTTTAGCATGAAAGAAAAGGCAGCATTGACCATTATTGTAAAATAAATACGCAGTAAAAACAAACCAAAGTGGGTTTTCAGATTGTGCTAACCTTTCACCTATTCATTTTGTAAGCATTTCCTTGAATTTTTGCTATAATACAACAATATAGAGTCTAAAGATGTTTGGATGAACACAGTATTCATTTTTATTTCTCAAAGAAGCTCTGAAGTCTTTTCAGAAAAAGCAATCACATGTTTTAAAATATTACCAGCACAATACCAATATGTGTGCCTAATTTTCCAACAGGGCACTAAATGAGAGTTCAGTTGAGATTTCACACCTAGCAGAGTTCTTTTATTCCTAGACCGCATGTTCAGGAGCTCAAGGCCAGAATCTGCTCTTCTTTCCTTCTATGTCTTAAGGATGGTCAACCCAGGATCACCGTATGAGAGGGCCACCTCTCTGGAGACACCCATGTTGGGAGGAAGCCCAAGCCAGTCACACAGAGAGACCACACAGAGAAGACGAAAAGAACAAAGGCTATCTAGGCCACAGCTGCTCCAGTGCCTGCCACCATCAGACTGCAGCTGCACTGAGACCCTGACCCACAAACTGTCCAGTAAAGTCCTCCTGAGTTCCTGCCCACACTCATGAGAGAGAAAATAAGAAATCATGTGAAATGAAAATGATCATTAGTTCTTCAAGTGACCAAGTGTTGGGGTGATCTCTTATATAGCCACAGGTAATGAGAGCAAAGGGAAAATGTCTGAACATCCTGTGACAGGCTCAGGCTTACTCCACTATGTACAGTGGAGTAACCGTCAAGGTTAGTGCTGATGTTCTAGAAGGGAGTGGCAGTAAGGGTTGAGATGAAGAGGTCCATGATTTAATGACCAAGGAAAGGACTGAAAACATCATTAGTGGACACCAGCATGTGGCAGTGGGAAAATGGAAATGATGACATAGCCCCTAGCACAGCTCCTATCGTGTTGGAAACGTGAGTAAGTGGTCACCATCTCTGTGACTCTATCACCAGCACTATTATTATTTTAACTTGAAAAAAGGACTTATGGGAGAAGAATGGAGGAATTCACATTTTATAAACATCTATGGACTATATACCTCTGACATCATAACTCTATACAAATAACTAATAAAAAACTGAGCATTTAAGAAAGCACATAATTAGCACTTAATAAATACTGTAATTAATGTTGTTAATGTTTGTTCTACATCAAACACTACTCTATGGACTTTAACTATAATGACATATTGAACGCTTAAACAACCTGATTTGGTAGATACTACTTTTATTACATGCTCAGCCTACTGTGACAAAGGACCACAGATTAAGTGGCTTAAATACTACACACTAATTGTCTCCCAATTCTAGAGAACAGAAGTCTAAGGCAAGATGTCAGTAGAACTGGTTCCAAGTGATGCAAGGGAGAATCTCCTAAGCCCTGAGCCCAGCTTCTGGTATATGATGGTGATCTTTGCCATTGCTTGTCTTATAGATTTCTGTCTTCATCCTCACATAGTTATTTTCTGTCTGTAACTGTCTGTGTCCAAATCCTTTCTGTTTCTATGGACATTACTTGCTCTGGGTTGAATGTTCTCTCCAAAACTAATGCTGAAATTCAATTGCCATTGTAATAGAATTAAGACGTGGGACCTTGAAGAGGTAAATAGGTCATAAGGGCTGTGACCTCATGAAAAAGTTAGTGCTGTGATTGTGGGGGTGAGTTATTATGGAATAGTTTCCTCATAAAAAGGATGATTTCTGCCTGTTTTTCCTTCCTCTATCTTGCCCTTCCCTTCACTGCCATCATGTTAAGATACAGCACACAGGGCCTCACCCAAAACCTATTACTTACAACTCACCCACATTATGGTATTCTTTTATAGCAGCAGGAAGTAGACTGAGGTTCCTCTCATACTGAATTAGGGACCTACATTACTCCAATGTGACTTTATCTGAATTACATTTATAACTAGAAAGTCACTTTTTGAGGGATTAGGAGGTCAGTATGTGAATGAGGGGAAGGCACAATTTAAAGCAAAAGAGTACTGTCACGGATGAAGAATATAAGGCATAGAGCACACAGCTGCGCTGTGATGGGGCAAGAATTAGAACCTAAGAAGCCCAGCTCTAAAGCCAAAGTCCTCAAACCACATTCTGCTTCCTCTGCTTCCAGCCACACAGTGCTACGATCATTCATCCAACCCTCAGAACCAACTACAACAAGACAAATTAGTTTGAAAGCATATTCTCAAGTCTTGACAGCAAGGAGAAAGCACGGAATTTGACTAAGGAGTTCTAGGCCAATTATAAACTTTAAATAATGTCTGAGTCCAAATCAGAGATAAAATTGTGATTAGCAAAAAGAGACATGAAAATCTCAAGACACAAGGAAGATGCAGTTTCAATGTGGCAAGAAGCAAATCACTTGGAAATGTAGTAGAATTCATCCAGTGCGAAGCATATAATTTAAAAAGCAGACAAAACTGTAAAGCAATTCATAATCTGCCAAGATAAAAGAATGAGAGAAAATGAGAGACAATAGGCTTCATAAGGCCATAAAACATACAATAAATGTCCAAGTAGGAGCAATATATAGAGTGCCCAATTTACAGAACGCAATAAAAAAGGAGACTGGAACATTCTGAGAAGATGCAAAGAACACAATAAAGATGCTACAAGTAATAACTTATCCACGAGTTACAAAGAGAGGTGGTGTAGCCTGTAGAATGGGTGTTTTTTGTTAAAGGTGTGGACAGTGTTCCTCAACAAGAAACCTTGAGTTTTCTTGGGATATTAACTGTATCTTTACTAGACACAACTTGAAAATGAACTTTGGTAATATTTCTGTAAAAGCCAAATATTATTTCAGGGTCAGATATGAAAGTAAAAGGCAAGTAAAAGTATATTGCTATGAATCTTTGTCTACTACAGACAGACATAACTAAGTTCGGTATTAAAATTTGAGCATTTCAGAAATGACATAAAATTTTGCATACAGGGGCAGGAGAGATGGCTCCACAGTTAAGAGACTGGTTGCTCTTGAAGAGGAGCCGGGTTTGATTACAAATACCCACATGGTAGCTAAAATCCGTCCTTAACTCCAGTTCCAGGGTAACCCAATGCAGTCTTCTGACCTCTGCAGGGATTGCACGACACAAGCACACTTACATACATGCAGGCAGTATACTCATACCTCTTTCCGGCAAAGCAAGGATAGATACAAGATGGAGAAAAATACTAAGTTTCAACTTAGAGGCATTGTTAAGGAAAATGTGATTACATGGTTTTAAAAAAATTAATGTAATCCTTGCAGGAGAAAGCAATCAGTCAATACAAATTGTACTCGTAGGCAAGAAAAAAATAAACCAGAATGTACACAAGGCTAAGGTTACTACAAAGGGTCTCAAGTCAGATCACTATAAATTCAGATTCTTGCTGGATTAGAGAAATAAGATTTCCTGCACCTGGAAAAAAGAAACCAGGAACATCTGAGTCTAGCTGAAAAAAAGAAAAAAAAAAAACTGTATCTATTACCACAGGCTAGCATGCTGCGGCTTATACAGCCTGAGTCCATGTGCAACCATCCAGTTTACAATCAGAGATGATCTCATTGTGGTAACAAGACATTGTTCTGGTCCTCTGAGAATCAGAACTTGAGTAAAAATTCAAATATGATTATTTAAAAGTCACAAGACAAACAGAGACACTGAGGCATATGGAAGCTTTAATTTAAAACTCAAACTAACAGGCATAAAGAAAAAAATGAGCCAATTTTATTAAAGGAAAGAATTCCTGATAACAAGCCCTTTAACGCCATGTTTAATCAAGAGTGTTATTCTATGGAAAGTTTTTATTCTTCCCTTGTTCTACCAAGAATTTGAAGCCATGTGTAATCAGGATGTTCGTTTTATGGGTCCCTAAATAAGCCACAGAGAATGGGCATGAAGGAGTTAAATAACACCCAGGCTTTTGCCTGGCTGGCTGAACTCTGCCACAGGGAGCATAATTCAATGAGAGTCAAGAAACAGCTTCTGGGACTGAAGAGCTGGCTCAGGGGTTAAAAGAACTGGCTGTTCTTGCAGAGGACCTGGGATCAGTTCCCAGTACTCACATAGCAGCTGACAACTCTTCATAACTACAGTTCCAGGGGCTCTGAAGCCCTCTTCTGACCTCTTTGGGCGTTGCATGACATGGGTACACTTACATAGATGCAGGCAATACACTCATAAACATAAAATAAATAAACACAATATTTTTCTTAAAAATAAATGGGGGCTGGAGAGATGGCTCAGCGGTTAAGAACACTGGTTGTTCTTGCAGAAGACCCGGGTTCGAATCCCAGCACCCACACGGCAGCTAACAGCTGTCCATTACTCTGGTCCAAGGGGATCCAACAGATTCTTCTGACCTCTGCAGGCACTGCACGACATGGGTGCACTTACCTACAGGCAGGCAATACACGCATACACATAAAATAAAAAGTAAGAAAGAAGGAAGGAAGGAGGAAGGGAGGGAGGGAGAGAGAGAAAGAAAGAAAGAAAGAAAGAAAGAAAGAAAGAAAGAAAGAAAGAAAGAAAGAAAGAAAGAAAGGAAAGAAAGAAAGAAAGAAAGAAAGAAAGAAAGAAAGAAAGAAAGAAAGAAAGAAAGAAAGAAAGAAAGAAAGGAAAGAAAAGAGAGCAAGCTTCCTATAGACTGAATGCATGTGTTGGCCCCAGATGCCCATGCTGAAACCCTAAGCTTGACCATGATGATCTTGGAAGCTGTAGGTCTTTGGAAGGCAACAGGCTGCAAGGTGGAGCCCTTATCAATGGACTCGATCCTTTACAAAATAGACTCCAGAGAACTTCTTGCTTTCAGCCATGTGAAGACACAAGAAAACAGTAATCTATGAACCAGGAGGAAGGTCCTCATCACACACTAAATCTGCTTGTGCTTTGACCTTGAACTTTCTAGCCTCTAGAACTGTGAGAAATAAATGGCTGTCATTTAAGTAACCTGATCTATGGTATTTTGGGTACAGCAGTCTAAAAGGGCTAAAGCACAATCATAGGTAGAAAGGACGTGCACTTGGCAGTGTCCTCTGGGCAGTGCTCAGCAAGCATGCTGTGTCTTTCCCATTGTGCTGCGATCTCCTCTCTTTATTCCCCTCCCTCCACTCTCCCATTGGACTCTAAGAAGACAGAATAGAAAGTCTTTTTTCTGGAGTTTGGGGGTAAAGTGTTTGCCATGTAAGTGTGAGAACCTGAGTTTGGATCCCCAGCACCTG